TTTGACCAACTTTATAAAAAAATATCAATATCTACAAATACTAAAGCTATATGGTATGAAAATTAATTTCATGATGCATCTAACAATATTGGTTTTATATTATGAATCTTGATATTTTTTTCTATATATTTTGTCAAAGTTAACAAAGTTTGATTTTGACCAAATATTATATGCAGACTAAAAAGTAACGGAGGAAATACTAAGGCCAACTTCACCGCACGACCCCAAACGGACATCCGGATTGGCCGGATTTTGTCCCTTTGAGGCGCCGATGGGTTCGCCCGTGTCCGCCTTTGTCAGATGGGTCGTGCGTGCGCGCACCGCGCGGCCGCACCCCAAATCGTGTTCGGGGTGGACGTGAATAAAACAAATATAAAAACTAGAATGAAATAACTAAAAAACTAAATGAAAGCATTTTAAAAAAACATAAAACATATATAGGGGATGACCACAAAACGGCCCAGTTTGCACGGCCACTTAAAAGGCCCAGTTTTCGTAATTAACATATAAAACAAAATAAAAAAACGCCTCCGCCTTCCGCGCGCTCCTGCCGCGCCCGTCGGTGCCGTGGTCGTCGCCGTCTTCACTAGCCGCCGGTGTCGTCGTCGTCGCTGACGAGGTCGGCGTAGTCCAGTGGCGTCCACAGATGGGCCGGAGGTGCGTGGTGGACGGGGGCGGGCTGGACGGCCGGAGGTGCCTGCACCACCTCCTCCCGTGGCGAGGCCTCCCGCTCCGGTGACCGCGGCGGAGTGGGGCACCAGTTCACGCCCACGCCGGCGGACATCTCCGGAGCAGTGCAGGACCAGCCCACCCCTGGCCCAGCAGCTGCTGGAACGCGGCCGGCGGGTCCTCCCTCTTCTCGTCCTCCACGGCCACCATCTGGAGCTCCGGGAAGGCGACGTCCCCGGCGGCAGAGAGGGCCATGGCCTCCTCCAGGCCGTCCCACTGCCGCTCGTTGTGCGTGTACATGGAGTCGTCCATGACACGCTTGAGGAGACGGGCCTCCTCCTCCGCTGACATGCGAGGAGGTGGAGGGGGCGACGGAGACGGCGATGGCGATGGCGTGGGCGTGACGCCGCGCACCCGCCTACGCCCGCGCTCCTGGGCGCGCCCCTGTCGTGGCCGCCGCGGCCCCGTCGAGGTGTCGGCGAAGAAGGACGCGCGCCTGGTGTCGTGCTCGTCACGAAACCAGGTGTCCTACAGCGCGGAGTCGGGGGCGTACCTGGGATCGTAGAAGAGGTCGTCGGGGAAGAGGCGGCGGCGGCGCTCGATCTCCTCTTCGCGCGCACGGCCGCTCGTCGGGACCGGAGGGATCGGGACCCGGTCGGCGGACAGATGCCAGTTATTGGGGAGATGGGCGTCGCTCCAGGGGAGCGGCGTCCTCGTCTCCCAATAACGGTGGCACACCGACGCACGGACGTAATGTCGGGCGCGCGCGCTGGCGGACGTGGGCGCGATGGAGAACGTGGGCAGCACGGGGGCCCGGCGTGGTGGCGATGGCGACGGTGTCTCCTCCTTCACCGAGCCGCGGCGGCGTCCCGACGAGGAGCCAGCCTCGCGGTCGTGCCTGCCTTTGCGGCCGTAGTTCCATAGCTCCTTGGCTGCGGGCGGCCGGCCGGCGAGTTCTTGGCTAGGGTTTGGGACGTGGTCGCCGATGTCGGGTTTCGAGGAGGCCGCGGGGTGGCGTGGGGCAGTGTGGACGACGACCCGTCCATACTTCCCACTTAAAAAAGGACGGCGACCGTTCGACGTGCGGATGCCAGGTGGGGCCGCCCGCTCGTGCGCATTGATATGGGCGGGTGGGAGGTAGGTGGCCGCCTGCCACGCGGCCCCGACGCGGACAAGCGCGCGTCCGTTTGGTGTCCGCCGCGACCCAAACCCGGCGTAAGTTTACGCTCGAAATGGGTCGGCTCGGACACAAAACGGACAGGATGGGTCCGGGCCGTCGCGCGCTGGTCTGCCTCCTTTGTCCGTTTTACCCCAAAAGAACGAAGCCGGACAAGATAGGGTCGCGCAGTGGAGTTGGTCTAAGCTTAATTCTCGGCGATCCGTTTGCGTGCCTCTGACAGTTGCAACGCCCTAAACTTGGAATGACGTCGCTTTTCACGGCAGCATAGCTGTTCCAGCGACGCCCGTCTCAACAGAAATCACCACTCCGTTGTCCATTCATAGCCAGCCATGCATGCTGCTACCTGGGGCAGCTAGCTGTTTCCACTTGCACATGTTTCTTTCCACTTCAACTTGAAAAGAAGAAGGAAAAGAAAGCACTGCAGTTGCCACGACCCACTCGTCACTCGAGACTACGACGATTCTCGTGCGACGAATGGGCATCCGGAGAAGTAGAAGGACGCCAGGAAAATGACAGAAAAAAGAAGAAGAGAAAAGATCTCCACCACTAGAGTACGAGCAGAAGCGCGGGGAGAAAACAACACGCTGCTGGCCTATGTAGTAGGAGAGTATCATCTCACTCGTCTAGCCCAGCTGCCTCGTATTCAAGACCGAAGCCGCTGCTTGACTTGTAGTCCTATTTTTTTTTTTTTTTGAGGGAAGACTTGTAGTCCTACTTGCGCGGATGATATCAAGCAGTAGATTGTAGTGGTGGTTAGCAGCAGCAGCATCTAGAAAAACGACTACGATCGAACTCCCTGGCTCCTCAGCGATTTGGGCCTCCTGGCCGTTCGATCGGTTCCCTTGATGCGTTCTCGGCCATCGGATCGAGCGGTGGGATGGCCTGCTCCGTCGGATCGAATCCCGCCTCCCTGTAGCAGTCGCGAAACCGCGCGAACCCCGTCCCGTCCGCCCCGTCTGCCTGGCCCTATGTCCCTGACCTGTGGGGTCCCGGCTGGTGGCCCCCGAACGTCAGCGAGCGGGTGTGCGGGCGGGCCTGTGTGCCCATTGCCGCGCTCGCCGGCCGGTAAATATCCCATGCCACCGCACGGGAATATTGCTCCCCGCCGAGGGCTTTTTCGTCTTATCGTGTCCAGGCCGCTTGCATGGTGGGCGATGGTTGGCGCGGCGCGGCTATGTGGTGGGGGTCGGCTAGATCCCTTCTCATTCGCCCCCCCCCCCCCTCGTGTTCTTGATAGTGTCAAAGGGCAGTGTAGATCCAACTAAAATTTAAAACTTTGACTTATATTAGGACAAAAGATAGAAGTGCATTTATTCCGGATGGAGGGAGTACTGGCTACTGATGCTAGGGTAGCATCCCCATGTGTATGTATGAATATTCTTGATTGATAGTGTCGGTTTTGGGTAGATAAAATATGACCATGAACACGACACAATGAGCTAAAATATAGCAATACTTGCACATTATGGAATTTTTTGTAGATTGATGCATACTTGCACAACAAGCAATTGGGAATGCACTCCGTTTCAAAATAAATGACTCAACTTTGTATTAGACATGGATTACTCAACTTTATACTAGACTCAATTCTAGTAACTTTGGATTGGAGGGTGAGTAGACAGATTAGATAGATGGATAGGTACTACTGCTGGTGTTTGTTTTAGTTGGGTAATACTAGTATATCATCGTGTACTGGTAAAATCGATCGTGCGCGGGCTGTGTGCGACCCGTAACAATAGCCAGCCAGAGAAGAGAAGAGAAGAGGAGAGAAATCTGCAAAGCGGTTAGTTGGCAGGCACGGACGGACGGGCGGGCGCGTCGTTCTCGCGCGTCGCACAGCGCACAGATGCTCTGCTCTCGCGGCCGCACGATGCTGGATTTCGCAACTTTTTACACGAGCGGGGGCGTACATGCACCGCCGTGGTAGAAACTGACGGGAGATTCGGTCGATGCTCCATGCGAGAGGGCGAAAAGTGGCTTCGGCTTTCAACGTGGGGGCAGGAGTTACCGCCCGGGACGACGCTGATCTGATGGACGTGTCATGGGTTCTCGATCGAGTCTGATGATACGGCGACAGCGTAGGCGCCCTAGTACTACGACGTGCTACTTGCTGCTCCCACCACCACCTCCGGCTCCGGGGTCATAATTTCTACAGTGATTTAATGGGATTTTTTTTCCAAAGCGAATGGGAAAGTGGTGAAAACAGTGGTGCAGTGTACGTGACCCTTGCGTGCCATTACCACCGGATTTAGATCCCCACAGCTGATTAATTTGCCACCTATCACCAATGCCCCAAGTCACACTCCACCTTGCAGTGCCAATGCATGCACTTTGCTGTTCGCTCTCCTTCTTGTCACCCACTCCTTGTCCCCATCACCCCATTGTGAGCTCTTTATCTACCCTACTCAACTCACTGATCGTCTGCACCACCGGAGCAAGGTGGAGGATGGAAGCAAGGAAGCATCGTCGCCCTTGATTTGGATGGATGGGAATATGGGGTGGCGGCCTCACAAGGAAAGCATTGGTCATATTGCGCAAGTCCCATAAAGGGAAGAATTGACAGCCATGTGCCAAATATCACATACCATCTCACATGGCAAGTTATCAAGCACAAATCTCGCAAAAAAAAAGTTATCAAGCACAACTTATGCAAAATCGTTCAGGTATGGTAGCAAATAATGGCTTGATTCCTGCTACTACCAAAAGTGTAATCCCGTGCAACAATGCAACCGTGCTAAACAATGCGGCATGGACCACAACGCGGTGCGCCAGCAGGGCATTGGATTCAGTACATTTCTTTCGTGCTGCTGCTGCTAATATACTTACGATCTACCATTAATCCAGAACAATAACTCGGCAAAAAAATTGATTTCTACAGAGCAAATACCAATGGCATGGCATAGTAGTAATAAGTGGAGAATACGGGGGGCCGTCCGGGAAAGAGAGGGAGGGGGCGAAAGGAAAAGAATGGAATAAAAGGCGGAAGGAAGGGAGCTTGGCAGTTCCGCGATATTCCAACTTCCGCAGACGAGCCCCGCGGAGGCGGCTCCTCCTGGCCCTCCTACTCTCTCGCACACTCCGTTTCCTTCCCTTCCTTCCTCCCAAAGCTCGTATTTTTAGCCATCTCTCGGCCCGGCGGAGCTCTCTCGCCATGGCCAAGAACACATGCAAGCTCTGCTCCCGCCGCTTCGCCAGCCCGCGCGCGCTCGCCGGCCACATGCGCTCCCACTCCGTCAAGGTCGCCCGGCCGCAGCAGATCTCGTCGGCCTCCTCCGCGTCCACCTCCGTCGCGGCCGCGGACGACGACGCCAGGATGGCCATCCAGGCCCACGTGCTCCGCGGCAAGCCCAAGCGGCGGGCGCGCCTCGCCGAGTCCGACTTCTCGGATCGCGAGAGCGAGGCGGAGTACCCGTCGCAGTCGCCTGGCGCCAAGCGCGTGCATGCCGGATCGCGCGACGCCGAGCCGGTGAGCTCCGTGTCCGACGCCGCCACGCCGGAGGAGGACGTCGCGCGGTCCCTCATGATGCTCTCCCGCGACTCCTGGCCCGCGCCGCCGCCGTCCTACCGCGCCGCCGACTCCGACGACGCAGAGGCCGCACCCGCGCCCCCGGCGGCCGAGCAGAAGCGGACGCGGTTCCAGTGCCCGGCGTGCAAGAAGGTGTTCCGATCGTACCAGGCGCTGGGCGGGCACCGCGCGAGCCACGTCCGCGGCGGCAGGGGCGGCTGCTGCGCGCCCCCGCTCAGCCCGCCTCCCGCGTCCACCCACCTGCAGCCATTGCCGGAATGCGAGGAGGGCACGAAGCCGCCGCCGCATCCGCACGAGTGCCCCTGCTGCTCCCGCGTGTTCGCGTCGGGCCAGGCCCTCGGCGGCCACAAGCGGCCCCAGCTCCGCCCAGCCGCCGCCGCCGTGGCCGCTCATCCGGCGGCCGCGATGAAAAGCCTGGGCCTCATTGATCTGAACCTCCCGGCGCCGTTCGAGGACGTGGAGCTCTCCGCCGTGTCAGATCCCTTCCTCGCGGCAAGGCCAGGCCACTGAAGCAAGCAGAGCAAGCAATCCGGCGTGCTTTTCCTTTCGGTCGGTCGGTGGGTTGGTTCCAGTGGAGATGGATGATCCGGGCCTGTGATCGCTGGCGAGAAAGATGGTGCTCAGGCAGTAAGCCAAAAAGGTAAAGAAGAAAAGGGTTAAGAAAAAGAGAGGCATCCGTCTATGGGTAGTTATTTTTCGTGCTGTAGTTCTCCTCTCCCTCGGCTCTGGTGTGTCTTTTTGTTTGTTTCAAGCTACGGAACAGAGTAGATCGGGCCAGCAAACAGAGCCAGCTGCTGCTGCTAGTTAGTATTGTTTCTCTTTTGGCTCGATCTTGGTAGCCTACAAGAAAATAGGGCAAAATTTAGCTAAACTGTTGCTGTCTGTCGCAGTCTCCAGCTGTTCTTGTTCCAACTGTCTATCGCATATTAGCATAGCATGGCATGGCATGGCACTTCACCAAGCAACCGATCATTACTCGCTAGCAGGCAGGCAGGCAGTAGTGAAGCCATAAGCAACAAAATAGCAACAAGAATGCAGGAGCAGCGAAAAGGGCCGCTGTACTTTGCTCCCCCTGTAGCCCAGCCCACGTCTGCCTCGCTCGCTTCCCACCACATTCCCTTCCCCATACTGTGCTGCGCATTGCATTGAATCCTGCAAGCAAAATGGCCGTATAACCAACAAATAAAGCGGCTCGGAATGTCGTTTCAATCGCGGTACAGCCGTGAAGATTACCTGCTCCATTGCTGCTGTGCACTGTGCAGGGTCTGTGTAGCTTTTCACTTTCAAGTCAGATTTTTTTTTTATACTAGATTTTTTGGGGGCTGGGTTTGTTGGGTTGGGGCCTGGATCTCTGTCAACAGTTGGGAGGGAGGCCTCTGGAACCGCAGCCGATTCTGCAGGAGGTAGTTGCGGCATGGGCCGCCGCCCTCGCCCACGTGGCGCCCGTCCCTCTCCATCCTATGTTTGGATTCGCATCGACTGGTCAGGTCAGTGGCCACGAACCTCGGTGGCGTGGGCGATATTGACTAACTTGTGCTGGGATTAGCAGGATAGTTAACGCACGCCTAATCCGGGATTATTCTTAGTTTAATCGGCTCGCTCTTGCTAATCGCCGGCGTACCGGCCTCGCCCGCCTGCGGAAAGAAAGAAGCTGCGGGGGCGCGGGCCGAGGCGGATCGCGGGGGTGAACTGCTTGGTCCACCCGGCAGCTGGTGGAGCCGGGAGGGAACAAGGGATGACACGTGGGCCCTCCCTTGCCCCTGCAGCACGCGTGTGCTCCTCCGTGTGGCGGTAGCGGGAGGGTGGGGACGGGGAGAGATTCAGGGGGACGTGGGGCCGGCCGGACGAGGCGGGGCTGCCTCACGTGCGTGGCGGCACGGGATGGCCCATCGGATCGGATCATGGTTGGACCGGACGCCTGCGATTTTCATCATCGATCCTCCTCTTCTATTCTAACTGCTGCTGAAGCCATAGTCCTACTCCATGCCTGTGGCTCGGCAAAAAAACACGAACTGGCATCGGTACTATACAGTATTCATACCAGTAGAATGTTTCAACGACACGGGAAAAGGTAACCGCTTATGAAACGGATCGAGCACACCGGTGTTTGACCCGGCTACTGGCTTTTCCGTGGTGTCGTGGTCGCTGCAAGCAAGACTCCGTGAGTGGAGAACAACAGGGTGCGGTGTGAGCACGCCGTGGCCGTCCCATCACGCGACGCCTGGGAATTCCTGCTGGCGTTGGACCAGTGATGCTACTCACACTCACACTCCAAAGGCCATTCTTTCATGGCTAGTAGTGAAAAATATATGGAAAACATAATCGATTGTCGATTTTGCCAGTTATCGGAGGAAAAACGGGCATGTGAAAAATATGCTGCTTGTTCGGAACGAAGAAACGATGACGCAGGGTGCGTATACCACTTGCTATGGTCATCGCCGTGTGCAGCCGAGCACGCACGGAAGGTCGACCAAAGGCAAAGGCCTCCGCCGCTGCTCAGCTTAACCTGCGTGCCACCAATATACAGTACTTTGTGCGTATCCGTTGCGTAGGCGACTATTCCGCGCACTCAGCGGCAGGCAACGGACGGTACTTGCCTACTCCCTGCGCGTGCTCTCATCCGTGCTCTCGCGTACGTGGCTTGATTTGATTAAAACAAAATAAAGCCCGGCGCTACCCTCTTAAAATCAGAGCGGGGGGAAGATGATTAGATTAGAAAAAAAAAGGAGAAAAAGACATCCGTAGGATGAAGTGGGAGCACGGATGGAAGCATGGGGAGGGAGCAGGCAAGCCGGATCCACGGGCAACAGGGACAGGCCAGTGGCAAGGTAAACTGGTTGACCGCCGAGTTGATTGGCTCACCTCCCTACGCGTATAGAGGTGGTGGCATTAGGCCGACTCCAATGCGCGACTCATCCTCTCCGCCAGCGCCCATCTGTTTTCTGTCCGCTTTCAACCTATTTCCGGCTCAAGTTTGAGTCGAGTTCGCGGCCGAGCGGATAGGCGGGGACGGGCGGAATGCGCCCCCTTGTCCTTCCCTGGCCCGCCCGTCAATGGCATAACCGGCCACTTTCCCTTCTTTTCCTCCAAAACCTTTCGCGCCCCGCCCTCCACTCTCCCGCGCCCCCGGTATTCCCCTCTCTTCGTCCACCATGGCCGACGACGCGAATCCTGGAGACCCACCGCTTGTCGCGAAGAAGGCCGTGGCGAAGAAGAAGAAGCTCGTGACGAAGAAGCCGCGATCGGAGCTCTCGCTAGCGTCCGCCGTCAAGCTCGACAGGGAATCGGCCAAGAGGAGGGACCGGCGAGCCGTTGAAAAGGAGAAGAAGGCCGCCGCGCAGTACGCATCCGAGTGTGCCCTGTGGCGTGTGATGTAGCACCAGGCCGAGACCGACGACAAGGAGTCCATCGTCTCCAAGGCGCACGCCTCCTCATGATGGGTGGTATTCATCGACCGCCACAGCACCGTTCCCCAAGCTCGTCCGTGTCACACGGCACCGCCGGATTTTCGTGCTCCGCCGCCGCACGACCATGGGAAAACATGATTCTCTACGTCGCCGGACTGCGTGGTGGTCGAACCGACTACGCCCGCGGCTGTCATCGACCTCAACATCATGCCGGGGTACAGTGGCGCTGGCCATTGTGAAGACGGCTCACAAAGGAAGCAGCCCCGGTAGTTCGAGTCGGCTACCATTGCCGGCGCCCGCAAGTTGTTCGGCGATATGCCACCGCCGACGCAGGCGCCCATGGTCGACGACCCGTACTACTCCTCGTTCATGCAAAACGTCGTCTTCGAGGGCCGTGGTGAGGCGTTCCACGTCGACGGCCATAAGCAACCTTTTGATCCCGGCGCGACCCAAAGCCAGGACCCAGGATGGTCGTGCTACCTACCATGACTCTCAGTTCGGCGACCATGATGATGCCGGTGAGGACGACCATGGCAACTCGTGGCATGAAGATGATGACTTGCATTGTGAAGATGAGGACGAGCTCGACATTTCGCAAGAGCCATTATGTTTCATCGACTAGCTCACCAAAAAGGCCGAAGCACAAAATAGAAGGAAGAGCATTCGCACAGGATCATATAGCCAAGGCGAGAACACTTTGATTCATATAGGATCATTATCACACCCAAATAAACGAAATTCGAATAAAACAAACGTCTGTTTGGGTCACACATTGGAGTTGGCCTTAGTACTACCTCTCCGCTGGTTGGTGATCGGCGAAACTCGGGAGGCGCTGGTACCCAGGCGCCAGCGAACAGGTCACCTTTCACAGCGCGTGGCCGAACCACCATCCATCTGTACGTACCCCTCCTGCTACCTCGGTTTGCCGCCGGCTCCCCCAGTCGTCGTGCGTGCGTGCCGCGCGGCACGGCGCTGTTCGTGTGACGCGACGGTTTTCCGTTTTCCCTGCCTCTCCTTCACTGACCTGGTCCGGCCAGGCAGCCAGCGGAGAGGCCCGTCCGTTAAAACGATCTCGCAACGAAAATGCACTAGCATGCGTCTCTGAAGCCGAAGGTGTGTATAAATGCCTCCGGCTAGCCAAGTAGGAGTACGTACTCCTACGTAGTAGCCGGGCCTGCGCACCAGCATGCATCGTATCAGGAGTGTACACGGCGGGCGTACATTGATTGGGTCAGTCCTTCGTCGAGCACAGCTGAACGTCGGCGTCGCGCACTCACTCACGTGGTCGGTTAGGTTAGGTGGCCACCGTCGCCATGCATCGAGCAATCAAGGCGGGCACGCGTCGTACATCGTCATCATGCCATGCCCCTTGGCTAGCCAGAACGCGACGCCGTGCGGGTGGCGCACGAACCGCTAGCTAGCTAGCTTAGCTACCGCGCCGATCTTCTCTCCTGCTTTCCCTGTCCCGTCCCGTTGCCTTTGCGTCTTGGTTCAAGCCAAGTGCAAACGCAGAGTTGGTCATGTACAGTTTACGTCAGTTACATGATCGAGAACTTTCAAACGCTGTATGAGCAAATCCGCTGAAATTACCTTTGTTTGTTTGTTTGTTTTTTATTGCAATGCAGAGTGCACATCTCTTTCTTGTTCATCACCGGTATGCTTTCGCCTGCCGTTCCTGGTTTCCAAAGGAGCAATGCTACATCTTGTTTGGCAGTTTACGTAAAACTTTTCGTTAGTGCACGTAGATGTGGGATTTTCGTTCCCAAAGTTGACGCAAACCGACACTCCATCATCAGTGTGCCGGTCACATATATACTTTGGTTGGTGCAGCGCCTCCTGGTTTGTTCAGGGGCCACTGTTAATTAGTAGGGCTCAAAGTGCTCACGCCAAGTGGTAGGATTCTTGCTTGCTTCTGCAGCCAAGACGGTTCTTCGCCTCCTCCGCACCTCTCCGTCTCACCATCAGCTCGCTAGATCAGCATTTTATTGCCCTCGCTGTCTCAGTCATAGGTCCTTGAGTTAGCTATGAAATTAAGGACCAGATGTCGATCGAATGTGATAACATGACAGACATGCATTCACCCTAATTTCAAGGCCATCTCTG